TTCTTTTTGTAAATGGTTCAATCATCAATGAATTAAATAGATTGATAAGAATCATATACCTTAAAAATATTTATATACCATCTTTAACTTCATTCATTTCGTTACGAGATAATTTCGTTTCTTTAAAAATCCTAAAGTTTAAATTTACCCTTAAGTTTGAAAAAAAACCACGATGCCATTTTATGATTCATCAGATGATTATGAACCATCATATAAGAATAAATTATTGGTTTCAGCTAGAGATAGAAATGAATTTGGGCGACAATATTTCTATGGAAATCGTGACGAATACGTATCAAGTGCCTCGAAAGTTACGTATGAGAAATATGGTGTTTGCACAAAAAATGAGATTTCAATTGGACTAAAAAACGAATTTATGCAAAAAGACACCTATAAAGATTTTAGTGGAAAAAGTAGTATTACTTTTGAATCTCAATCTGATGCAAAACTTACATATCAACAACCATTTAACTTTACTTCGTATGAACCTAAGAGTTTATCTGGGATAGTTGAATCAGGTTGCGTATTGTATAAAGGGCTTGATGATGTCTATGCAAGTCCTAAATTTGAAGCAACTACGAAAAGTAAGCTCGAATGTGAAGATACGGACGGTACCACTTCCAAAATTGAATACGGTGGTTCACGCGAGCTCGGAATTTATGAACAAAAATTCATGGCAAATGCTGAATCATCAATTCAACAGGATGACGTCACTCTATTTAAAACTGAAGCTTCATTAGGGGCAAAAACGGGAATGACTGGTGACAATTTTGATGCAAAACTCGGTAGTACGTTATTTAGTGCTTGTGATGAAAATGAAGGTTTGGATTTTAAACTCGTAAATACATCAGCAGAGGCTAAATTTGGAATAGATGAAAATGGTATCGAAGAAATGATTAAATTAGGTATAAACTTGGTAGAAGCTGAAGTTGTGGGTGTTAAATTAAAAATTTGAATCAATCTTGATACAGGCATTTCAGTCAATAAAAATGGCATAGAAGGTAAATTTGAAGGTTTCGGGGTAAAGTTGGGAAAAGAAATTGGTATAAGTACACCTTTCGCAGAAGTGTCAGTTGATCTAGGAAAGTTGTTTGATTTTTAAATTATGTTGCATATTTCATTTATTTATTGCTATTTACTACTATAATTAGTTATAGCAATTCTTACGTATTTTGAAATTCTATATAAAAACAGACTTAGTAAAAAATATATACTGTATTGATCAATAAATTTAAGCATATAAATATTTCTTCTCATAAAAAATTTTTATTTTTATTATCTTATTCTTGTATTTCTATTCTATAAGTAACTGCGCGACATTGTCACGAAACGGGTCTAGTTTTAAAAATTCTGATGCAGAATAGTTTTCATTATACAGTATAGTACTACATTTATATATTACTACGAAGACATATATTTTATGATGCGACAACAAAAGTACATTATTATTTACTCGATCAAAAAACTCTATCAACTTGTTACTTAGGAATAAACATGGATAAACAGAGTACTAATACATAGCATATTTTCGTACATTAAATATAACATTCATTCACTTTCTCGTTGAAATGTCTCTTTTATCAGGCTGCAGATGTTAAAGAGAAACAGGGTTAGTCTTTCAATAATAGCAATAGAACTAAAAGTTCTTAGCTGATAATTCCATTTCGTCCTTTCTTTCACTTTTTTTTTTACATTTGATATTGTCACGAATTTCGTGACATAGTTGTTGAGGCTTCGAAATTTTATTTGTTTATTTTTATTTTATTTTATTTGTTTTATTTGTTTGTTTCTTTAAAATTGCGTCATAAGCATCGGAAGCTCAGGGAATTAATGATTGTAAACGAAATTGTATGCGAGATTGTATGCAGAATTGTATGCAGACTTGTAAACAAGATACCTTATAACGGAAATTGTAAGGGTTCTTATTAATTAAACGGGCTATGTAGACTTCCCGATTATAGAGAATCAAGGTAGAAATTAAGAAGCAATATTGAATATTACGCAGTAGTTATAGTTATCTAAAATGTATTTAAAGGCCGAGTTTTGTCTTTAATAAAGTTTTCTCAGACTTCGATGTCTTTAATGAAGTAAAAATAAGAACCGACTTCTCAAGTTTATTGGAAAAACTGTCTATTGAACGAATCTTTATTTATTTATTTTTTTTATCTTCGTATTGTTAAGAATATACCCTATAATTAATTCTAAATACTATCTCATTTCTAAGCGCGTATCTTAGACAATTACCATTGTTAAACCTATATAACAGTATTATCATAAGGTTATCCGCCCGATTTCTTAGTGTAGACCTGTCTCACAACTAAACGCCCTACCTGAAATACCCTTTTTAGTTACCCTTAAATTACGTGCATAATCCAAATCAGAACCAATTTAGTAAGAACCGGATCCTGATCTACATAATTCGAGACCCTAACTCACGTGTACAAAGTTATAACGAACGACACTTATAAACCCTTAAAGTTTACTATTGGAGCTAAATTGCTTCGTATCTTATCACTGCTCTCCCAAACAATAGTAACAATATAAATATTAGCCTCAGAACCACGATGTTCCTTATACATTAAGCCATTGTTCATATACTATTATGCATTACTCTATGCTGCCTTTAAAATTATTTATAACTAGTGAAAATAAACTTCAACGGATAATATTGACTGCTAAATAATTATCAAGTGGTCTTTGCGTTATTATAACTTGAGCCACTTCATTTTTCATTTTTTCACGCATGATTTTTCTCGCATTAGTTCGATCTGTCTCATTTGGATGGAGGGATGAGATTAGTAAAGACACGTGTGCATAAAATATTAATTTTCAAGATATTTTTTTTCTGGTCGAAAATTTCTTTATTATTGCTCAATCAGATGGCTTTATTTAAACAACTGAACAATTTTATTTAACAAAGCTGAAAAACATACGGGAATAGGGGTTCGCTACCTTTTATGGCTCTAATATACATAACCAAATTCACAACTACAAAGACATAGATATGGGG